ATGTTGTGGATTCTCCTAACATCACTGGTGTTCTTTTCCACAACTTTGTGCCAAGGAAATTTGAAGGAAACGCTGGAATCCTTGCTGAATTAGCTGAGCACTCTTATTCTTAAATGTTAGTAAAGCTGAACTTTGAGTGAATGTGATTCCATAGAGATGGCTTGTGGTTGCAAGTTTAAGGTTGGAGTACCCCTTATATTCCTAGTAATGATATTTTTGATTCATCTAAAGAAAGTATGTAATGTTGTGATTCCGCTCTTCAGTAATTAGGGATGGTCTGAAACTTATGTAGTTTTGAATGCTTGCACACTTGTTAATTAATGAAATTGCTTGCCTTCTGCTGATAGGATAAATCTGATTTCCTTTCAGTTTTATTCATTCATTCCTAATGAGCTGGTAATATGGATTGATGACATTTTTTTATGTGAAATGCTGCAGAATACAAAACGCTATTGAACGATACTCTATGCATACAAAGGAAATTCCAACTCACAAGCCTGAAATGGAACAACACTTGCAGGTTAGACCTCCATCTTTCATTTCACAGATTAATTTTCCATGCATTTTTTTCCGAGAAAAGGGCAGTTCAAAATTTACTTCTTTGGCCGCAGATGTACCCATAGATGATCGTATATATAACAAAAAAATTCTATTTGGAAAGGAAAGATTGCTTAATTTGCAGTTGATTAGAATGCAAATTAGCTTGGTTGCCAATCTGCTCCTTTTATTGCATGGTTTTGGACTCTAAATACATGATTTAGGAAGTGAAGAGTTTCAAAGCGCAGACAAGTGCTTGTTCTAGTCTCCGAGGGATGGTGCAAAACATTGTTTCTTTTTCTTTCTTTTTTTTAACAATTATGGTCTCCCTGGTTCAACTTGTGTGTATTTCAAAACTAATATCTCCCTAATCCAGTTAACTGCAAGCCATCCACAATGTAACTAAAGAATTTTTGAGGAATTATTTCATCATTAACCTCTAAATCTTTCCACGTATGAATCAAATCCATGCATTCTTTTGTTTTAACTAGCTTTTATAGCTTGATTCTTCGATACATTTGATTGATTTCTCTATATATCTATAAGTTTCGCACAAACTTTTTCACACAGCTCCTTATCGAAAAATGAAAATTTATAATTCTTAATTAATTTTATTTTTAATATACTTTTATTAATTTATTAATATTGTATATATTTTTGAGATAATAAAATACAAAAAACCTAAATCTATGGCCACAGCGCTCAACGAAAAACCGAAGCCATAATCTACATTTTATATTCATTGCTCTCATCAAACAGCTTGCGTCATGAGTTATACTAAATTACGTCTGCAGCTGCTAATAATACTTACTTACGGTTTCCTCAAAATATTTCAAAGTGCAGCACTTGAGGATTGAAACAGAAAACATGGTTAAGAAGATTGAGTTCCTGGAAGTTTCTAAAAGGTTTAGTATTGATTTAATGCTTCTAAAATGGTACTTAACCTAATTCAGGTGAAAGGATTTCTAAACTTTGAAAATTTAATGTCATACAGAAAGGTGTTGGGTCAAGGATTGGGCTCTTGTTTTGTTGAGGAACTTCAAGAGATTGATAGCCAACTAGAACAAATCTTCAAAAACATCAGGGCAAGAATTGCTACCTTTAGATTTGCCTTTCGGCTAAAAGTAGTTACATTAAAGAATCAATGTATGATTACAAGACTTCTGATTTTGAAGGAAAATTAGGTTTTGAGTTACTATCAAATGAGCTTAATTTTTTACATAAGTATGGAGTTTTTGCTCCGTCATTGGGCACTTATAGACATACAACAGCCACATTTCCTAAAACTCGCCTCCTCCTTAGGTTATACTCATAGATAGAGTTGCAACCCAAATTCCTCTTAACTATTTAAAAGGTCCAAGATCTCCATGATGTAGGATTGGAGTCTCTAATGTATCCTGTAATAGAGTCTTCATTGTGCCATCTATGTGCAAGATGCTTTGGCTTGGTGTTCCTCGTATCGTTGATCCAAATTTCTCTAGTCTTCTAGGTGCATCTGTCTACATACAATTCCTACACAATTCTTTAAATTTGTGTTGCTTACGTGAAAGTACATAAATTAAACCTGTTATGTCCTATATTATAGGCCCAATTATATAAAGAGCATATACAACAACTAAAAGCAAAGGTAAGAATAACCTTTTCCCCCAAATTAATCATATGTTACTTCCTCAATCTTCTAGCTCCAAGCTTCTCAACAGTGTCCCTTGTTTTGTCTTAGTAATACATTTTTTGTCTTAATTCAGGAGAAAATATTGTTAGAAAAAAATAGGAAGTTGTGTGAAAAGGTGATTTTTTTATTTCCCAAATTTAGAGTTTATTTTGACCTAAAAAATAAAAAAAGACTCCGAACAGTTTTTCAATCAAAACTAACACTAGACTGCAAAAATTGGACCGTTCCATGCTAGGGATGCCTTTCATATCCTTCTTGTTTTTGTCTCATTAATATATTTTTATGTATTAATTTAAGAGAGAATGTCATTAGAACAAAATATGAAGTTACGTGAAAAGGTAAGCTTTTCATCTGTAAATCTTGGAGTTATTCTTTTCTTAAAAATACAATCCATAGTTTCGCAGTTCAAATTAATATTAGACCACAAGAATTGGGCCATTGGATGATGGGTGCCTTCCTACAATGAAGATCCACCTCATTGAACGGTCCATATTTTGAAATCTGGTTTAATTGAAATTGAAAAACACTATTTAAAAAAAAGGTTGTCTCTCTTTTGGTTAGGATATTAGTGTAGAGTGAGAAGTAATGACAACAACTATTAATCCAACAAAAGAAAGCATTACTTGATTATACCCAAAATAACCGGTGCTTGGAGGTTTAGACAAAATTGTTCATTGGAGTACCATAAAACCATTAATATTAATTATCTGAATTATTTTATGGCTAAAATTATTGTGTTGCCTCAAATAATGTTGTATGATCGGTTTATGTGACCGATTAGTACACTACTTTTCACTTTAATATTTTCTTCTCACTGATCTAAATGTAAACATAATATATAGTGTAAGAATACCATAAAAAAAAATATGGCGAGGATGTTAAAGGTCATGACATTATATATGCACCACAAGAAAAGATCGAAATAGTCTTATACTTATTTTAAAAATAAATTATTTCAATCTTTTTTATTATGAGTTTATTGAAATGTGATAGTTTTAAATGATATTTATTTTCTTTTTTAGAGATTTGAGTAATAAACTATTTTTATTTAATATTTTTAATTATACTTTTTCAATTCACTATCATAAATAAAGACATCAATTTTCATTTTCCTCATTCTCATTAATTATGTAATTAAATCCTACAAAGTGATTGTACTGGGACTATGTTCCTTAGAAATTAAGCTCCAAGAGCTTCTGATATATTAAAAAAAGAATTATGTAATTAAAATTGAAAAATTAATAAATCTAGAATAATGGATAATTCAAGGAGTTACTAGATCTAGATTTAACCTAACGAAGAAAAGATATTAAAGGCAGGAATGGGAAAAAAATTCGCAAAAAAAAAATAAAAAATGAAACCAATCAAAATCATAGTCGACAAATTGAGTTTAATTGGGTTTTAGGAATTTTTTGACTAAATATCAAACTGAACCGATCTCAAAGAATTCGGGTTTTGGCGGCTAAGTTTAAAAATAAAAAATTTATACTAAAGTGAGTATAATAAAAAATTCAGCCCAAAACCTTTTATATAAATTTTTAATTTTTAATGGTTTTTGGATTTGATTTAGGTATTCTTGCCATTTTCGACCAAATTATTTATGTACTTGGGTAATTTTTTAATAATTGAAATTAATAAAATAATAATTAATAAATTAAAAATTCATTGAAAAATATAAAAATAATTTTTTAGTTAAAACTAAAATCCATCTAAATAGTTATTCTTAAAAGAGTAACTAAAATTGATAAAACCTGATTTTTCCAGTTTGATTATTACTTTTTAAAACTAGATTTTTCTAATCAAAACATTTGTTACACATTTTTACGCTTAATTTGTATGAAAATTTATAAAAGTAAATTTTATTTTCAATACCAATGCCACATGGAACATCTTAATTGGATGATTCATAAAATTAAAATCAATTTCAATATTTTTAAAACAAATTAATAGTGAAAATGTGTAATAAGTAGTCCTTAATTTGTGACATTTCGACAGTGATTAAAAAATTCGTTTAAAATTTAATAACAAAAAATTTGATTACCCAATAATTCAGTTTCAATCGTAACAAAAATTAAATTGTGTCTATCCTAATTAGAGGTTGTTGATCCCAAAATTTTCAACAAGTGGCCCCATCAACCACCAAATTGAGAGCCCAAAATTAGGGATATGTGGAAAAACCCAAAACTAAAAAAAAAAAAATTCGAAACTGACTGAAATAATAGCCGACGAGTAGAGTTTAACTGGATTTTGGGTTTTTGACAAAAAAACTGAACTAAACCAATTTTAAATGGTTTAGATTTTTGTTGTTAGGTCTAAAATCTAAGAAACCAATGACTAGGGTGATTGTAATAAAAAAATTTAATCCAAAAACATTTTATATCAATTTTTTATTGGTTCCTAAATTTTTTAAAGATTTTCTTGCCTTTTTTTTAATCAAATTCTTTATTTATTTGAGTATTTTTTTATTTTTTTAATGATTAAAATTAATAAAATAATAATTAAAAAGTTTTAAAAAATTTTTAAAAAGTATAAAAATAATTTTTTAGTTAAAACCGAAATTGATACGGAATGGTTATTCTCAAAAATAACCAGAACCAATAAAACATATTTTGTATAGTTTAGTTAATAATTATTAAAGTTTAGTACTTAAAATTTTAATTAATTAGTGATTTGATTTTAATTATAATAAAAACCAAGCCGTATCCAATCCAAAATGCCAACTGCATGAGGAGAGAAAGAAACCTAAGACCAATCCACCCATAAATAGAAAAACCCAGTCTCAATCCTCCACTTCCAATAAA